TAATAATTCTTACAAAATCTTAATAATTTACTTCCTGGAAAAAAGAAAATAATAGTTGATAATTTATTTAATAGCTTCCTTTTGTTCTCTTTCTCTTTTCCTTTTCCATTTCAGATAAAACTTCCGTGAAAGAACATAGGACAACCTTCTGATTGAGTGATGAAATAATAATATCAAATGGACCAGGTATTTAATTTTTTAATTAATTAAAACTAGCAAAATTAGGCCAGTTTAATACAGGTTTAAGACTCTAGATTGTACTAATGTTATTAAAAGCTCTGGATCAATCAAAACATTTTTATAGAAAAGATATCTACAATCATTTTATCTTTATTTTCATGTCCAAAAGTTGTAATGGAATGTGAACAGTAGAAAGAATTAAGAGATCACCAATTTTACAATAACAGTGTCTAAAATTTCAGTAATTTATCATTTTAAAAATTATATTTTATCTATAGCCTGAAGATATGAATCAATTCAGGGAACCTTACTTCAGCTTGAGAATGTATTGAATTACAAAGCATAGCACATTCCTGAAAATAAAATAAAAATGTTAAAACACAATGCTTTGCTCTGTAAGCATTTCTGCTTTTGGCAAACAACTACAGAAATCTCTGATAATTTTGTATTACCATTTATTATTCCCTTTTCTTCTCAAAACCTTGTCATGAAACTAACATCTTGTAGATTCAGATATTTTTCCTGAGTAAAGGTACTGTATCCGTTCCTGACCCACACTGACCTTTCAACTGAGTTTCAGCAAACTCTTTATCCTTTTTTCTACTTTTATAATCAGCCATGTGTGGTCATTGAACTCTTCCCCTTTGCCCCCTTTCTCAACTTAAATTACTTCTTTTAGATTTCTGGACCATATCTCTGTCTCCCCATAAGAATATCTGTATTTCACATATCACTGTTAACTCTGGCCCTTTCATTTCCCTTTTATATCCAATCTCTCACTAAAAATAGCATTGCTTTCCTCTCTATTATCATTAAGACCTCTTTCTTCTTTCTACTTTAAATAATCATACCAACATGGGGATTAATCTGGTTTCAGATGCCTAGTGATGCTCTTAAGTATACATGTATGAGAGCAAGTGTTAAAAAGAAGTCTCAGACTTCAGATTCCAAGTTTGCAAATCCAATCTGCACAAATAGTTGTAATAAAAATTATCATGATTGAGAGCCCCCCAAAGCAAACTCGCAAAAAAAAAAAAAAAAAAAGATACGCATAAATCACCCTAGCAGATTACACTTGAAACATAAAAGACAATTTATAGTATCACTCTCCCGGTGAAAAAAACAGGGGCTTTAATTCTGCTGGATGCTGGATACTATCCCTGCAGTCTAACAGTGCCTTCACAAAGTCCTTGATGATGTTCATCGCAGCATTTTGGAACTAAATTTAGCCTTGTAATTGAGTTTCT